GTTTGGAACACTCAACCGGTCGGGTCCTTACCTTTTGAAGGTAAGAGTTAGGTGTGCCGCAAGCACCTTGGGTAAGCGAGTGTTAGCGAGTCCCCCAGCTCTTAAGAGACCGTCGTTGTTTTCGAGTTTTGAAGCCGTGGCTTCCTTCATAGTCTGGATTGCGGCGAGTATTTGCAGATGTGATGGTATTTCACCGTGGAAATAACAGCGGTTAACACGGGTGTTGATGAGCGAAGAAACCGGTGTACAATCTCTTCGTAATCGATTCCATCTTTTGCCAGGAAGATGTGAGAATCTTCGTTTAGTAATGTTGTCAGCGACACGGTAGTCGAGTGAGACCCTGCGGTATTTCGGATTTCTCCTTCCTTGTACTGCTTCCAAAAGTTTCGATTGCCTGTACTTTTCTTCTTGCAAAGCTATTCTGCAACTGGCATTGGTTAACAGTCGCTCGAGATGTAATGCAGTCAGATCCAGATTCAGTGCTCTCCTCCTCTCTATCAAATCCTCAGTGGCCTTCGACATCGTTTCTAGTTTTTTGTTCGAGGCTTTGAGGCATGTTCTACAGACTCTTAGTCCTCTGAGAAGCAGGCCATAGTTCTTTGTTTGCCCTGTTCGATGCCAGACACAAGTGGTCAGGACTTCCCTTAATGCGCCGTCATATACGACTTCTCTCCTTCCTCCAATAGTACAGTGACTGATCTTCTTTTTCCAGCTTCGGCTAAATCGCTCTTCTCGGAAGAGGCGGTGATCTGACCCATTGCTGAAGGATGTTACCACTGAGATGTCCAGTAAGCATCATTTTCGGTAGGTAAGAATGTGGTTGATCTCCACATGAGCGCCGTTCAATGACTCCCATATCCACCCCCGGTGTTCTTTCTTCACGAAGATGGAGTTGCCCTGAAAGTCGTGCGGCGCATGAGAGCCCAACGACGAGCCATTCTCATCACATGTCCTGCCAAATCCCCCAATCCTATGCTCCACTTTTTCTGGCATCCCGATTTCGCAATGATGTCACCCACGAGAAATTCGGAAAAATTCTTCTCTTTGCGGATAGCTTTCTCCAAATCCTCATTATAGGCATCTAGTTGTGATGCTGCTGATGTTGGAGAATAGCAGTTGATGATAGTT